CGCGTATATGTATATATTATATATAGTCTTTGAGAAGAACTGTCTGCCATTTGAGAAATAGGTACATGAAATGTCAGAAATTCATGTAGACCCAAGTAGCAAACTGGTAGTCCACACAGGCCAATTTGACCCATAGTTTTTTTATTTGGTATACATAATGTTTCAAAAGTGTTTGAGGCGGGTGCAGTGATGCACTCCTATAATCCCAGTGGCTTAGGAGGCTGAGTCAGGAAGATCAGGAGTTCAGAGCCAGCCTCAGCAAAATCGAGGTGCTAAAGCAACTCGGTGAGACCCTGTCTCTAAATAAAATACAAAATAGGACTGGGGAAAAGTTTCTGGGACTGGGAGGATAACTCAGGGGTGCAGCACTTGCCTACCATGTGTGAGGTCCTAGGTTGGATTTCCAGCACTGTAAAAAAAAAAAGGCCAGATTTCATGATTTTGCCAGTGTTATAATTACTATTAAACATATGCATTTTAGATTATTTCTTAAGAGTGTATCTTTTTAATGTGGTGCTTTCTCAAAGATTATTAAATTAACACTGTAACTGAAATTTTAAAATTTTTGCAAATATTTTGTATTTCATAATAAAAGCCTATTTTAAAATTATTTGTTTTGTTTTGTTTTTTTGAGATGTATTATTCCAAGTACAGAAAACAATGTCATGATTGAATAATATGCCCAAGCTTGAATTGTATACATATTCCCCCTTACTCTATCTGTATAGTGAGGCAGAAATAGCAAGGGAATAGCAGAGCAGGATTAGTAACTAGAAAATTTTCCACATGGTGTGTGAACTCAGAAAAAAAAAATAAGCATTCTGACATCATACTTATCTGAATGTTTTTTCACTCAGTCTTGGATCTGATTACATTTATGTTAGTAAATATATTGTGAACAATTAAAATGAAGAGGTATCAATTAACCAAGGATTTAGTTAGGCTGGGAATGAAGTCTGGGTAGAGATGCTGTAGAATCTGAGTTCAGACATGAAAGATTATGGCAGGTGAAACAAAGGGAAGAGGTACATCTTGTGTTAAATTTACATCATTATGACAAGTCACCTGAGAAACACCAACTTAAGAATAGGAAATGTTTATTTTGGCTCACAGCTTCGGAGGTTTCAGTCCATGGTCACTGGGCCCATGTCAAGGCAATACATCATAGTGGAGGAAAACGGCACTGCCTCATGACAGCCAGAACCAAACAGGTAAGCCAGGGACTGGAGTCCCAATGCTCCCTTCCAGGGCCCACCCTTTATGAGCTAACCTCCTCCAACTAGGCCCCAGTTCCCCATAGCACTGTCAGTTAGGGACCAAGCCTTTAACACATGAGCTTTGGGGGAATATTTAAAATCCAAACCATCACAACAGCCTAATTCTAGGAATATTCTTACAGCCATTATCCAAGGGGAAACCAATGACTATGAAGGATTTTGAGAACAGTTCTAGCTCAAAATTTTAGAACAAAACCTGAAAAGGTTTCCTTAAGTATTAAAAGAACTAGTGTCCAGAGAAGAAAATGTAAACAACCACAAAAGTGTAATTTGTGCAGAAACCTATGACTGACAGGTGAAACCATCTACTTCTATGTGGTACATGGATAATTCCACAAAGAAGTTGCTACCCAGTGTGTTGAATAGATTAGCAGCAGCATCTGGGAGATTGTCAGAAACTCAGGATCTCAGGTTGCATCCAGACTGAGTCAGAATCTTTGAGCTATATCACCAGATTCAAATACACATGAAGTCCATAAAGAGTAATAAAAATATGTCTAATTCTAAGAAGTACCCCTCTCTAGAGTCAGTGGTCCTTAAACTTTAGCTGTATAAGAACCACCTAAAGCCTTTAGTGCACACACACACCCGATTTCTGTACCAGAGGGATCCAGAATTCCATCCCCAGAGCTGATGCAGTAAATCTGGTGTGGAACCAGAAATTTCCTAGGATACAGATGTGGGGGTCAAGGATATAGCTCAGTTGGTAACATGCTTGCATTGAATGCACAAGGCCCTGGGTTCAATCCCTAGTACCACACACACACACACGCAAAAAGTTGTGGGCTGTCTAGGAGACACTGTAAGAACTACAGTTCCAAATAGATCTCAAGCCTGGCTACAAATTAGAATCACCTGGGGAGTTGAAAAAAATAAAAGTGATGCTACAGTTAGAATCATCTGGGGAGTTAAAACATAAACTTGATGCTCTGGCCTCACCCCAGATATAGAGTTGGTTTTGTTTTTTTCCCTGTTTTCTTTTTTGCAGTAGATTGAACTTGGGGTGCTCTACTGCCCAGCTATAGCCCCAGACTCTTTAGTTTGGAAAAGGGTCTTACTAAGTTGCCCAGCCTAGCTTTAAACTTGTGATCCTCCTGCCTCAGTGTCTGGAGTAGCTAGGATTAAGATGTGTACCACGTCACCCAGCTACTATGTTGGTTTTTGTATATTGATTTTCTATTCTTTCAATCTTTGCTGAATATATTTATCAGCTCTAAAAGTGTTCTATTGGAATCTTTAGGTCTTCTAAATACAGGATTGATTCATCTACAAATAGAGAAAATTCGGCTTCTTCCTTTCCAATTGTATATTCCCTCCTTTTTTTTCCTTATCTAATTGCTCTGGTTACGATGTCAATTCTATGTTGAATAGGAGTAGTGAAGTGAACATCTTTGTCTTGGTCTTGACTTTAAAGGAAAAGGCTTTCAGTTTTTCTCCATTTAATAAGGTGATGGCTTTGGGTTTGTCACATAGACTCTTTATTATGTTGAGGTCTAATTCTTCTACCTCTAGTTTCTTCATGGTTTTTATTGTGAAAAGGCATTGAATTTTGTTTTTTCTGCAGCTATTGACGTGATCACGTGATTTTTCTGTCCTTGATTCTGTACATGTATTGCATCATATTCATTGATTTGTATGTTAAACCATCCTTGTGCCCTGGAATGAAACCACCTTGATCACTGTGTATGGTGTTTTTAATGTGTTATTGAATTCAGTTTGCAAGCATTTTATTGACTTTTTGGTGCACATTCATTAAGGATATTGGTCTACAATTTTCTGTCCAAGTGTGTCTTTTTTCTAGTGGTACTGGCTTCAAAGAATGAGTTTGGAAGCATTTTTTCCATTTCTATTTGTTGGAATAGGATGAAGAGCACTGGTGTCAGTAATTAAAGGTCTGGTAAAATTCAGCCATAAATCCTTTCAGCCCAGGGCTTTTTATTACTGCTTCAATGTCATTGCTTGTTATTGGTCTGTTAAGACTTTTATATACTCTTGGTAGATTGTACATGTCTAGAAATTCATCCATTTCACCTAGATTTTCCAATTTATTGGAATATAATTTTTCAAAATAGTCCCTAATGACCCTCTGGACTTTAGTGGGATCTGTTGTAATATCTACATTTTTGTCTCTAATTTTATTGATTTGAGTGTTCACTTTCTTCTGGTTAGTTTGGCTCAGATTTTTCAATCTTGTTTATCTTTCCAAAGAAGCAGGGCTGTTTCACTGATCCTTTGTATTGTGCTTTTAGTCTCTTAATTCATTAATTTCAGCTCTCATCTTTATTATTTCTTTCCTTCTACTGATTTTAGGTTTGATATGTACTTGTTTTTCTTGAGATGCACCATTAGATTATTCATTTGGGATTGCTCTGATTTTTTAAAAATATCTTGTGGGGTTTTTTTCTCTATTTTTTTTTTTAGTTGTAGTTGGACAGAATACCTTTATTTTATTTATTTTTATGTGTTGCTGAGGATCGAACCCCATGCCTCACACATGCTAGGCAAGTGTTCTACAGATGAGCCACAACCCCAGCCCCTGTTCTGATTTTTTAATGTAGGCACTAATAGCTATACCATCCCTCTTAGAACTGCCTCTGCTGTATCCTACAGGCTATGGTATGTTGTATTTCCATTCACTTATTTCCCCCAATTTCTTCAATGCTCCATTGATTATTCAGAGAATGCATGTTGCTGGGTGTAGAGGTACATGTCTATGATCCCAGTGATTCAGGAAGCTGATAGGAAGATCACAAGTTCAGGTTCAGTCTCAGGAACGTTATGAGACCTTATCTTAGAATAAATAAAAATACTAAAAATGGCTGGGGGTGTGCTCAGTGGTAAAGCACCCCTGGGTTAAATATCTGGTACCAAAACAGACAAACAAAAAATGCATTGTTCAGTCTCCATGTGTTCATATACTCTACTTTCTCTTGCTGTTGATTTCTAATTTCACTTCATTATGATCTAATAAGATACAAGAAATTGGGGCTGGGGATGTGGCTCAAGCAGTAGCACGCTCGCCTGGAATGCATGCGGACTGGGTTCGATCCTCAGCACCACATACAAACAAAGACGGTGTGTCCGCTGAAAACTAAAAAAAAAATAATATTTAAAAAGTCTCTCTCTCTCTCTCTCTCTCAAAACAGTTATAAAAAAGATGCAAGAAATTATTCCAATTATTTTTTTCTTGATGAAAACTTGCTTTATAGCCTAATATAAGATCAATTTTGCAGGAACATTCCATGAGCTGTTGAAAAAGAAGTATTCTGCTGCTGTGGGATGGAATATTCTGTGGATATCTGTTAATTCCATTTGATCTATGAGGTAGTTTTATTTTGTTCTGACTGTTGAATTTTGTCTGGATGATTTTTCTTTCAGTGAGATCGGGGTTTTGAAAGTCCCCAAGTATTATTATATGGGGCCGACCAGTCTCTTTGTGTCAAGTAGTGTTTGTGCTATGTAGTTAAGTACATGGACTTTGGGGCATAAATA